TAGCCTTCTTGACAGCAGAAATTCGACGGATCTAGCCTTGAGATGTTGCTGCATCATTTGTATAGATGTGTAGCTTATTAGGCGATATTTTTTACTATAAACAGAAAGCGTGATTTGCGTGGCGACACAACTATGGCTTCTTTCCACTGACCTGGAAAGGTGCCGATGTTCATGCAAATAATGATTATATTTAACAGCAGTAGAGAGGCCGTCTTCGCAAAATTACAGATAAGTGAGTATATGGTCTGAACCCAAGAACTAGTATACTTTATGTACTTGTTAACTTGTGTATTGTAGGGCTTAATTCTGATGCAATTGAGTTTATCGACTGTGACTAGTTGTAACACCATGCATTTAGTTTCATTGGCATCGTTGAAAGAGGCGCAGAAATATTAGTTAAAAGTTTCATAGGTTTAGCAGACGCTGTTATGTTGCAGCTCTCTCTTGCTACAAGTTGGATTGTGCTTTGATTATGTTTGGTAGTTCTGCGCTTTAAATGTGATCAGTTAATTAATTCTGAAGTGATTCCCGATGGCCCGTTTTTCATAAGCGATGTGTTTTAGGCAACAGTGTTTTAGCAATGCGTTGCTGGGTTGCTGCATAATGAGTGAGAGGTCATACGCTTTGCGATAGTCCGTAAGTCGACTTTTGAGCTTAGAGCCCGCTTTTCGCGAAACTGTCTTTTCGCGACCTAGAGATAGCGTATATTTTGATAGGAGCCAGTAAGTCAGGTCAGAGATTATGCTGTTTACTAGCTGTATCAGATGCAGCTTGCGACTCATCGGCGAAGAAGGAAACGTCTTACTGATCGTCGCTTATTAGAGCACCAAATGAGTCTCAGTCAACTGATTTAGAGTGACCTGAGAGCACTCGTGAATTGAGCGAAGCCAGTATAGTCAGTAGGACGTGATTTTTGCACAAAAGTACTTATATGGACCGCTGAATCCTCTTTTAGTTGGAACGTGTTTCCATTGTTGACAGCTTCGGTTGTTTAGTTGCTTAGTTATTTTTGAAATCATCAGTGACTTCCAATAAAATATAAGGATGGTAGATCAGCATTCCTATCCGCCGGTACCGTAAATATGTTTTGATCTTTTGTGGTCAGACAGCACTGTGTACATCGAATCGCACTGGCTGTATGACCTTCATCAATGCGGTCAGCTCAGGATTGCGTGTATATAAATAAGAGCACGGTCGATATAGAAGAGGTGTTGTTCTCCATTGCTTAACACATGCGGTAAACGACGTAAGGTTTTGGTTTACACCTAAGCGGTTTAATCCATTTGGGTTCCTAACTTATCTGCTGTTACAGGTAAAGCACCTCCAATACCAAGCAAGCAGTTGACATTTTGCTCTTATTTGGCTCAGATCCGGAACTTGTTGTGTAAATGCTGCTGTTATGAAGTGGCCGCCTATGCTCATCACCACGTAGTTCATGGCTCTATCACACTCCTTGTGGAGTGGTTCTAGTTTAACAGACATCGCCAAGTGAGGTTGCTTTATGATATGAAATCTGGCTGCTTTAGATAGGTGAAATATAACGCAGGATTTTCCTGCTTGAACATTCATTACATGGATGCCAAAGTGCTGTTGCAATGGATGCCGGAACATCTGCACAGGTAGCCGTGGTGCACTTCATAATAAGTGAGTCAGGCAATCATTAATTGAATCCTAAGTATACATCGATTTCCTGTTTGCAAACCAACTGAAATGCAACACAGTGTGCGAGATAAGCCTGTATAAAAAGGGTACCAGCATTTGATATCTATTACTCAAGCCAAAATACTATATTAATTAAAGCTAATTTTCTGTTTTCTTAGACCCGACTGTTAAGACATGATCAAAGAGTTACAAGCACAAATCGACTGAAAGATAATCAGAATGTAAAAGCCAGTGCGAAGATTTCAAGGGGAAAATCTGGTCACTTGATCCAGAATTACGTGACGAATATAGAAAAGACAAAGCAACCTAAATTCACTTTATAACGTTAATGTGCTAATGGGTAAATTTTCGCTAATTCCAAACGGATTGAAACTATTTTAATGGACTTATAGCCATTTAATCAGAAATAAATAAAACGAAATGTCCATCATCATGTGTCCATCTTGGAAGGGTGATTCTCAGTGCATTAGCTCTCAGCGGAAATAGAAGTAAAGTAATCAACGGATGATTTTCAATGAATTTAGGTCCTGAGTAGTAATGAAGATAAAGTGCAGAGGCAGTTCGCGGGATAAACTTATATTTCGGGCGTGCTAAGAATCGAGCGCAAGTATGCATAAAAATTATGTAAAAGGGATAAAAAGTGCTTCTAATAAATGTAAAAGTATTACAGGTTTAACCGATTGCAAAGGTCAAATTTTCGTGCAATTTCACTTAACCTAGTTAGGAAGGAATGGCTATATGAGATGTATTCTGTCCCAGTAAAAAACAGCCATAAGAAGTGCAAGCTTGTATAAAAAGAGAAAACGAAGAAACTAGGCGAATTGAAATAGTGATACAGAATGCCTATCTACCAGCACATGAGTTCCATATATCGCGATCAAAAGCACCGTCAGATTAATAACCGTAAATAAACTTATAAAGTGTTAAGAATACGATCCTTAGAGTGGAGTGCAAATAATCTATACGTAAAGCACTTGGTTATGGAATGTCTAGTGAAGATGAATAATGGATGAAGAAGCAAGATTTTGACAATACTGATTAACCTAGGCTGTAAAGGAGAAATTGCTGCCTAGATAAAACAGAGTTTGGTCAAATATAACTTGATATTTCTATTCAGACTTTTGCTTTAGTGATAAGTTTCCTAGCAAAGATTAAGTACACATCAACTCAGAATCCATATCGTTTCAAGAGTTCCAGCGAAATATTTTGCTCAAGAATACACTTATTTCCAATACCTTCCTAATTCTTTTGTGTTTCAGGGTTTTTAAATCACAGGTCCAAATTTGTGCAGCCACGTTGCACCTGAAAACCAACCTACCTCGAATTTATGGTTAACCAGCAGCATATTTGTCTCCATATCAAAGTTGTCATGCCACGTTCGCTATAATTGGTCCGTGTCTACATTGCACGCATGTAACGTGGCTGTACGAACCAGGCTACCTATTAAAATTGGAAGGAAGCGCTTATTGTGGAATATTTAAGTCGCACTTCAAAACAATAGAAACATATAAAAATAAAAATGAAGTTTGAAATTTGTGAATATTTAAGTCACTTAAAAATGTATCCCTTTAAAAGTAAATACTGAGATGTGCAAATTTGTTTAGCCAAGCGCCCATTCCAGTTTTCGATATGGGTAGCAAAAATATCTATGATTGAATGATTCCAAAGCAAGTAGAACATGCGTAAAACCTTCATAAAATCAAAATGTTTTTGAACAGTATTTAAAATTTTGCACATAACAACCAAGCGAAGCAGAAAGGCTTAACTGCTCGTTTATATTTGAAGCAGTGCTTTATGTCACATGTTGGTGATTCTCAAAACAGTATTTGTTCGCAACTTCCATATGAGGATAGCAGAAAAATTAATAGATATATGTGCGAGAAACCGCATGACTACATGCTGCATCGCATTAATGAGGAAGACGGGCTCATGAAAGTGCATGTGTGACACATACGTAGTCGAGTATTTCTGTCATTCCGACGCATGCTTTGACTGATCTGGAGCCTAATAAAGAGCTACGATCAAATGGAAATACGGCAAAGTGTATGATTTGTATGCATATAAATTTGACAGGCCGTCGTCAAACGAGTCCTGATTGGTTGCCAGTATACTACAATTCCAAGTTTCATAGTGCTTCGCCGAAAATAGAAGGTATGAGTAAGTTACACTTTGAAATGTTTTGCAGCTCATTTCCTGATAGGTGTTTTTACAGTAAAATACTAAAGCGAAGTCAGTGCTTCGCATTCTCAATAGTCCATAAAAATATTATTGTTTGTGCAAGTATTCGAAGCATATCTAGTCATAAATATGCCAAAGAAACGTGCTGACGTTAACTAAGGAAAGCGACTGGTGCCCTTACACGACCTCTTTGTGGTTAACTGAGCAAGTCTGCAAAACTGTATGTTGAACTTAGACAAAACTTGTTTTGGGTACAGAGCCTACATTTTCTTTATTGCAAAGTCGTCGGACGTATTTAAGTCGAATTTCAACTGTATGTAGCAGGTCGCTGTATACCCCTCAGGTTAACAGAAACAATCTACTTTAGTTGCTAAAAACTTTCGGGTGAAATTTGCCGATAACGCTGTGGAAAACTGGGTGAAAATGTTTCTAGAGTGGAATTTGTCAATCAGTCAATGTAGGTATTATGAAAAGAAACTTCGCAATTCTATGTATTATAATAGATTGCTTTCTGTCAGCACAGAAAAGCAAATAATATTTTTAAAAGCTCTTCACGTTTAGAGAGATAATGGCTTCTTCGAGCAATATTTATAAATAAGGCACCTTAGAATATTTTGTGTTAACGAAATATATGTTTTCAGTAGTATAAGCAAGCAGTATTAAGATGACTGTAGCGTTTTTTAGCCGAATTTGTCCTCCTTTGATTACTTTGACGTGGTATATGACGCAGGAACCTTAGATTAGAGCAAATACATTCATGTGTGTTACCCTATGTCAAATGAAAAGTATCTTAAGTTTTGGATATGGTGAGGAAAACATTTCATCCAATCATAATATATAGACATTCCTGATATTCTTGCCTATAAACGATGCCCAAACATTTAGTGGACGTGTCAATCACCTCAACGTAAAATGTTTTATTTGATCACAGTAAATAGTATATAACGAATTTATTTTACTTTTTTGGAAGATGCGATAATCCAGTGATATTCATAACATTCAATAAATCTAAACTATGTTTAGAGTAAAGCAATCTTGCAGTAAGCGGTTTTAATATGCTATGTGAACAGTAACGTTTTCAAGTACAACTGTTGCAAGAACGAACTGGTTGACACATCGCGTACACTTGAATTTGGTTCACTGTTTGTTCTTTGCCGCAGAGAATTCCTCGGTGGAATGTCATTTGGCGTATCGGGAATTTTCGCCAGAAAGCAGGTAACAATTGTTCGATTTCTGTGGTTCCTTTGTTAAACAGTCTTGCACACCTATTACTACCCTACCTTTGCCAGGTTATTTATGGGTCTTTTACTGAAACCAGTGAACGGATTTAAATTGGAGAAAACCCAAATGGATCAGAATTTTTATGGCTTTTGACATTTAACACAGAATCGCAATAATTTTCTCGACTTATGAGAGGGGAAATCTGCTGTGTGTAAAAGTTGCGAATGGTCGATAACATTCGCTATATCTTAAAGCAGTTGTGCTGTGCTTTTCACTTCCCATAGTGTACGACGTCCGTAAAAATGTCAAGAACACTACGATGGTTTGTGCGCGAAAGCAGCCGTTCCATGTATTATTTTTGGCCAAAGCTCCGCTCTACTAATTACAGTAATTGTAAAGAAATGTTCAGAATTTCTTTTGTCATGCTTTGTTTTGTAAGAACCAGTGGCACTTTTAATAGTTTTGCTCGGTAATAATAATTAAAAGCCGACATCGATTTGTTATGCTAGAACGAGGTTATTTTCCCGTATGCAAGTCTGCAATAGCGGAACATAGGTTCTACATTATAGGTTAGATTGCTTCTGATTAACTGGATTCAACGATCGCAACATAATCTAGCTAACTGCTGGGTTTTCGTTGTATGGGCTTCCCTTTAGGATTAAAAAACTTAGCGAGGAGGCATCAGCAGTAGGTCGGTACGGAGTGCCAACGATTGGCTTCTGCGCAACCATCCGAATTCGCGCCTGGGTTAATGATACTTCGAGGGTTTCCCGTTCTCATTCTCATGTTTGTACCTCCGGATAACAAGACATGTATATGCTCCTCGAATACGTAGCTAGATTCCGCAAACGGATACGGTTTCGCTACTACGAATGGTGCAAAAGCTGGAATGTCAAGGAAATCCTAATGCGAAATATAGGCAAATCAATTAAGTACAAGCAGATGATGCCCGTGTGGTCAAAACCCAACCGGCCAGAGCGGTGTAGCTATATGAAGGCAGTAGAGCAAAGTGTCATCATTATTCAGCTATTAGAGCGTTGGCACTAACTAAATAAATGGTGCACACAATGATGCAACATCGACAACAATGAGAAAGGTTGCCATCACAAGGTTAACGATGACTCATTCATATTACATGGACAGTTGTAACACTGGCAATATTTGAATCGCTTTCCTTAGTCATTATGTATGATCCCTGCAATTATTGCTTGCTTAAGTATATTTGATTAAAGGTTACTCGACTGAATCTAAGAAAAACTATAGTAACCCACATGTTGACAAACTAGGTATGTCATACTTTGTGCGAACTCAAGTCGACGCAATAGTTTGAGGTTTATGTAAGCGAGCAATTTCAGGTTATTTCTACAACACTACACTGATGCCAACTGATCAAGCCGATGTAGCACAGACGTTGGGGGGCGGTCGCTGAAAGTAAGTTAAAACTTGTGACAACCGGATAAAATATGGGACAGTGGCATTGTTGCTTCTGTTCCTTTATATTTACTGGATGGAAGCGAAAACCCAATGCTGTAGCTGACTGAATCATCATGTTTTTGGCTAGTGCATCACATGACAGAGTGGATACACACCTTGCTTCCCAATAGCTACACGTTTGTAGGCATGAGACAAATAAGAACCTTCCAGATTGATAGATGACGATTCCCCACTAAAGATTACCGTCAGAAAATCGCGTGAATAAATGTCACCTTAACTAAAGACTAGGCAAATTACAAGCATTCGTATTAGTATTATTGCATTGCATCCTGTCAAATTAAACAAATAAATAATCTTAATAGTAAACACACAATTGATACAATTGCTGACAGGTATCTTCTTCTAATCTTCGTTTTAATCGTAGCTGGATCCCACTGTTGAAGTCCTGTCGACTATTGTGTGCACTCCCTTTGTTCAGTTTACAGTGGTAGTGGTTTATCGAAGTCCTGAAAGTCTCTCTATGGAGGTGCTTGATTAGATTCCTAATCATGCTGCCAATAGTTGTCTACTACTAGGTGACTTCCAAATCCCTGAAGTCTGATGCGCTGATCTATCTTGCAGTTCGGCGGTTGGCACTTTCGGTTCGGATGTCCTCTAGCTAACATTGCAACTTCCTTTGCATCAGTTCGTAGACCTCCCGACTAGATATATGAGCAACCAAATTCCGTCTACCTTGGATCTCATTTTTTCGAAGGCACACGATTTCGGAAGTGATATTACCTACGGCTGTCCTCTAGGAGCCAGTGACCTTGTCTGAATATCCTTTCGATGTGGTCTAACTATCATCAAGCTACCGCTGAGGCATGCCCACATATTCGGCGGGCAGACTTTAACGCAATGCAAGACAAAGCTTCAGTTCTGCGTTGCGCGGTCACCATGGCTGACACCGTTGAGACAGCCTGAGAAAACTTTAAGGCATAATCCACCACGATCTCTGCTCCCCACATCCCACTCAGTAAAAGACGCGTGACACGGACGCAGCCTCCTTGGATAGATCATAGAGATAAAAACCTGCTCAGGAAGCGCTCTAAGTGCTGGCGAACTTACCAAGCGGCTTCATCAACCAGCACCTACGAAACCTATCGAGCGGTTAGAAAAGATATGTAAACAACACCTTAGGACTCTTCCTCTTCAGTACGAGAAGAATTTGGCTGATGCAACCGTAACAAATCCAAAGAAGTTCTTTGCTTACGTAAAGAGTCGCAGCAGTAAAACTCGTCAATACCGGCTTTACTACAGGCGGATGGGATCCGTGTGCATACTGACTATCCTAATGCTTGTATACTTAGCGAACAGTATACTGTTGTCCTTTTTCGTGAGGGCTCTCTACCTCAAGTTGAGCTGGTCACAAATGTTCCGGAGGATCCTTGCATACTTGAAATCAGCAAAACGGAGACAAAAGTCTTCAGGCTATTGCAGGTGCTAAATCCTTCCGAAGCTTCTGGCCCTGATTCAATTCATCCGAAGCTGATACATGAATTGGCGGCTGAGCTAAGTGGTCTTTTGACATGCATGTTTGCGATATCGTTCGACAGCTGTGCTTTACATTCGGAATTGAAGGAGGCAATCATCTGTCCGATTTTTAAATGGACTGGCAGAGCTCTTCCCGGGAACTGCCGGCCTGTCAGCTTCACAAACGTAGTAGTTAAGTTGTGTGAAAAAGTGGTCAGGTATTCTGTGGAGAATCACCTGATTAAGTTGAACCTTCACAGTGTGGCACAGCACGGATTCCGTAAGGGATTTTCATGTCTCAAATTTGGTTGCAGCCCGTGAAAGCTGGATGAAGCAGTAGACAACGGTTACGCTATCGACATACCTTTCGTTTACTTCTCGAAATCCTTTGATACTGTCCTACATCAAAGACTCTTATTAAAGTTGAAATCGTAGGGAATAGCTGGAGACGCCCTTAAATGGGTGTCTGCTTTCTTAGAGGGAAATGAACAGTATGTATGCGTGTGGCGTAGCCTTTCGCTTAGATAAACTTTTCTTAGTGGCTTTCCGCAAGGCTCGATACTAGAGCCGCTGCTTTCGTAATTTATGTCAAAGACATACCCCAGGAGCTTGAAGTACCGTCGTTATTGTTTTTTGGTGACCACAAGCTCTGGAATCTTGTGGATATCGCTAGGGGCTCTAAGGCAATTCAGTGTTTTGGATAAGCTCTGGGACTGGCCAACCTTATGATTGATGCCTATAAATCAGGCGAAATGTTCTGTCCTCCGCAATAGAGGTGCTAGTCCCCCTACGCGAAATATAGTTGGGGAAAGTGGAACCCTTCTTGTCACTCAGCCGGTTGATTTAGATATCGTCCATACCTCAGTGCTTCATTCTGGGGCCACTTAGGAAAAGACTGCTTGTAGAGGGTCCGTATGATGTGGTTTATTCGCCGCTCCTTCGGTGTCCTAACGGCCAATATATCTGTGAAGCTGTTCACAACTTTTGTGCGACGCCACTTAGAATACTGTATCCAGACTTGTCCACCTTGTCTTGTAAGAGACAAAATGGAACTGGAGAGGGTTTGCGAGTGGGTACAAGGTTAGTGCAGGGGTTACGGGGCGAACGTATCCCGAAGTTTTGCTTGGCTTGAGTATGTACTCAATGTACTACCGCAGAATTAGAGAAGACATGATCCTCACTTACCGTATCCTAACGAGTAAGATCGGTCCAGACTTGTCCTGGCTAGTTAGTCCTGCCAAGCTGCCTAGTCGAGGTCAACCTTTGAAGCGACACAAACTGCGTTCTGACTGGGTAAGGACGGAAACTCGCTTGTCGCGTCTAGTTATCGAACGTTGGAACTCGCTTCCGGAGCATGTCGTTAGCGAGTATACGGTTGAGGGTTTCAAGCGTCAGTTAGATGCTCTTGGGTGGCAGAACCAAAACTTCCCCTACTCCAAACCAACTTGTATCTTCAACTTTCCTTCATTTTTTAAATTTTTTCTCACACCTTGGTATTATAATTATCTAGCTGACATTCCTCCTCTTGTTTTCTTAGCTTACCCTCCACTCTTTTACTTCACATAACCCGGCCTGGCAAGGACTGCTGGACATGAAAATGTGGGCAGTAATTGGTTGGACAGGGCGTGATGCAGTCTGCTGCAGGTTTCTCAACACTTCAAGCAGACCTAGCAATTCCCGATACAACGATACGCCAAAAGAGGAACATTCACGGGATTATCTTATCCTTCCAGTCCCATTTGAAGTTGAACTTGAATAGATTCACTAAACAGCTGCAACAATGAAAAAGTGGTTCTATACTGCTAAAATAACTGAAACTTTACACGTCCCGCAGGACGATTATAAGGAAAATTTAAAGAATAAGAAAACTGGTTAGCAAATTTAGGTGCACACTGGTGGACTTCCCGAAGTATTTGTAGCCTAAGTTTTATAGCCACTGTAAATCATGTTCCTGAACACACATATGTATCCGTTTACGCACGCATGTAAATCCTTTTACACTGATTTCGCGAAAGTTACAGAGTAAAATATTTGTCTGCGTACTGTTG